CAATTTATAACCGGATTAGTTTGCTAAACTCATTAACAAACTATTCAGTGCATCAGCACCACAATTTCACTTAATTTGATTATTCCATTACTATTCAGAGTTGGTTTAAAATAAGATTTGCACAAATGAAGGAATTATTTACACAAGGTTTAGGTACCGGCAGCAACTTCACGATACAACACGTGTCAAGATACACTAGACCGGGGGTCATTTTTGGGAAATTTTCAATACAGTGATATGTGGGGGCCGATTCTTGCAATATGTGATGTTTATCAGTGAACATGAAATATCAGCAGAATATTGGTGCAAGTGGACAACAAAAAGGTCAGGTGTTTCTAGAGGCAACGGGCTCAAAAACTGACAAAGACGCCTTATTATATGTTATTGCGGGACTTGTAATAACGTTGCTGACTATCTGAAAACATTTTATATTTCTTTTTTTGTTAAGTCAATAATTTTTCACTAATTTTCATGATAAAGTGCCACACAGGCCCACTACGGACCACTGGCCCTCCTCGGTGTTGGTCCAAGGACCACCAGGAGGTGCTTCGTGGCCCACTTGTGGTCCTCGGCCCAGTGGTTGAGAAACCCCGCACTAGACATACAACAGTCTTGTTTTAGCCTGCAGTACAGCAGTCTGCTAAAAAGGCTAGCATGTCCACTAGCCCTGCCTGCATTGTGCTTCCACTGGTCAGCCGCATCAGCGGTGTGGTCTCACGCTTGTTGCTTCAATCAATCCAATAAATCTGCTGAAAACCGGTGCTACTGATAGTGTGAAAGACTGTAATATTTACTGAACTCCAGCAGAATCTGACGCTCTGAGATGTAAGCGTGAGTATATGGGATGCATGTATAAGACAAAGGACAGCACAGGTTCATCTAAATATCATTCAGTTCTATTCTTAAATATTTGCACATTTACTTCAGTTGTTTAAAGCATCTTTAAAAAAATCCAACAAGTAAATATTTTTTTCAAGCTCAGTATGGTTTATTAGTGACACAGGACACGACTTTTACAAAAACAAAATATTTACTGTATAAATATCAGGACTTCAAGCTGTAACTCTGACTGTGCTCTGATAGAGCTCGCCTAGTCATTGTTACTGCAGCTACAACACCCTGTAGGCAGATTAAAAACCATGCAAAATAGACCAGAATGACCACGAAAAAGATGAAAAGATATATAGATGCTTTAGATGCAGTCTCCAGGAAACGCTAGCAGGAGAAGATTAGCTAGATTGGTGGACCGGATCCGAATAACCTGCATTTCTGAGTTCAGAACATTCCAGTGCGTAATATTTCATAAAAACGAATAGCAGATAAAAGTGGCTACCAAGTCTAACAAAGCTCTTAAATAATAAACTCATAGATAAACATCAAGTTCAAATCAGCTTCTTATTCACCAGCTTCTCGTTTGAATTTTCTGTTCCACCTTAAATGGTGCTGTGGTTACACTGAGGTGGCTTAAAAGTAGAACAAATTTCGAAAGCTGGCGAACACAATGCCAGCATCAAGCTTACCTCAATGAGCGCAACACTTTACCTCAATAAATGCATCCTTAATCAACAAATACCTCATACTTTCGCTTGGAGATGTTTACTGAGCAGCTGACATGCAGCACATCGCAGCTATAATCTGCCACTGGAGCTGTTGAATGCGTCTCACTGGCTGATCTAAGGCTGCGTCCCAAACCACACACTCCTGTGCCTCACCTTCTGCACTAATGAGGGCACTTCTAATGGTATACGCACTATTTTTTGTATACTATTTAGTGTGCTAGTACGTGGCTTTGGACACAAAAATAATAAAAATGGAGGAAATCTCAGCCGTTAAGATTTTAGCTTTCATTCATTATCACCACAGTAACAAGTTCAATGACATCCAGTAAATATAATCAAATATATGGCTGATACACTTTAAAAATCAGGTTTAAAAAGTGTTTATAAAAAAAAAAAAAAATGCTGCTGCCTTTACTGGATCGATTATGGCTTTATTTCATCACAAATCGCCAAAGCACTGCTGAATGAACTTGAAGTAGACTCTCGAAATGGTGACGTCACTATAATACTATGCATTTCTACATGTAATAAATGTTCATCCATGGGCATCAGCAGAAATGTACACGAAAAACACTGAATACTGGCATCTGCGCTCCCATTATTTCCCTCATCACTCCATTCTAATTATAAAGAATCATTCATCACTCAAAACAAAAATCAACTTAGGGTTTCAAGATTTCAGTTAAAAGAAAATCCTTCTCATTCTATGATTAAAAAGACACTGATGTGGTCAGTAAGGTGCAGTTCAGCAGCAGATGCTTTGGCTAATCTTGCAGCTGCACTCTGAATGTGTCACATAAAAATACCACAGATGACTGATAAGGCTTTCACATTAACAACAGGAGGGCAGATTTCAGCAGGACAAAGAGCACCGAGTTAGTCTCAGCACCCACCTTATGCCACGAACAACAGACTGCCGTTAAAAAGAAAAAAAGGAAGGCCTCTGTTGACAGAGCAGCCTTCACACCAGCTGTTTTATTCATTACCTACTGTATGAAACTCCTACACTTCTGCAGAAACAGAAGAGCTACTTCCAGGCTCTCCCTTCTCATTTTAAGAGTATGACTACATTTGAATTTAAATAAATGATGATTTATTGCCGACACATTATGTGACAGTTTATTCATGTGATGATGAGCGCTCCCCATCATAACCATATTTAGAAAGGAAAGACAGAAAGAAATTTGTTCATTTCCTGTGCTGCCTATCTCCCGTCTCCAGCTGTGTTCAGACCCAGTTCTGCTGCACCACAAGCCTTTCAGTGTCACATCTGAATACGGTAGATTCATACAGAGTTAAACATAGAGCTGGGTGATTTAAAAAAAAAAAGGGGGGACTGGTAAATTTGAAGGTTATTTCTGTCGTTCACCGTTTATAACTAGAAACACTGGGTGCATGCAAGATAGTGATGTGTTCACAAAGGATGTACAGGACAAAAACTGTCCTGTACACTGTTTGTTTTCCACTAAATGGGTGGACGAAGCCACTTATTGTTCTCAACAACAAACTCATTACAGAAGCACTCGTACTACCAGCACTATGACTCCTACCAATGCATGAGCACTACACTGTCAGAAATAAAGGTTCTGTGCAGGTACATGTTTCATTCATCAAGGAACAAACAATGTAAATGTTCCCTCAAAAAGATGCAACAGTGGTTCTAAGGTCTAATTGTGAACCTTAAGTTTTTCTTAATGGAAAAGTACGTATTCGTATTTTCATGAACTAATGTTTTGAAACAGAACAATAAAATAAAAAGCCTGGTGAGGAGACGGGGTGTGTGGAGCCAACACAACTTCAGAAATATAATAGTTCAACTATGTTCCCTGACTAAAGGTACTGAGATGTACCCTTGAGGGTACCACTCCAGTGACAAGAGGGGTACTGCCCCAGTTACAGTTTCACACCCCTATTTCTGAAAGTGCACCAATACCACGACCACTTCCACCATGGCCAGCCTACAACTACAGCAGTGACTACTACTACTACTTCAACTACAACAACCACCACCACCCCCACCTACCACTACTGCTACTACTTATTACTATCAATTTTTGAAACAGTGTGATGAAATTTAAAATTGTATTGTAATACACTCCTCTGTCTTCTATGAGCATTTCTCATCTTTCATGGAAACCACGTCAGTGATTAAAGTTAGAGCTGAGCGCATCATGTCTTTTTTTGTATTGTTTACAGTGCATCTGTACTCTCACTCTCACTATTTTGCATGCCATCTTTTGTAAATAGACTTTGCAGCATATTACTGGAGCTATGCAGAATTAAAATATTAACAAAGAAGACTGGAAATGAACTGAATTTTGATCTCAGAGTGCTGATTTAGTGATATCTGATAGATAACGAGTACTACATGCATAATATAATGCACAAAAATACTGTTTCTGTGTCAAAGCAGCTCGCCTAAAATATCATTAGACTTTCTGAAAAAGTTTGAAAACAACAAAATGAAGCAAACCATGTCAAGTTTGCATGATTTTAGTTCAGCATAGCAGACCAAGGACGCACAGTTTCATTCACTTCAGCAATGGTAACTATTTAAATTTATTAACTAGAAATACTGTGAAATATTTTTTAAAAATGATTGCATTAACACCATCCAGCACTACTCATAAGCTTGTTTTTGTCCCAGCGAGGTACTTGTGTCAGTGGGTAACGTAAGGAGCTGCTGCTAGAGATTGTAAAGTGAGAAATTAATACTTCTCGAGGTTTGTTTGCCATGAGCAGGAAACGATTCAAACTTACTATGAAGCCCTTCAGGGTAAACTGAGAAAAACCTCACACAGTCTGAACTCTGAATGCGTTAAACCTGATCTCTCTTCTGTAAATCCATCAACATGACAATAACATCAAACACCTCTGATACTATCCAGAGGACATGCAGCACAGGTCCAGGCCTATGGCCTTTACGCTTGAGCACATTCTCATTGCTGTGACGGGAACATTGGTCATTCAAGGTGATGAAGGCAGGACAGCCATGATTAATTATAAAATAGGTCACAAATTTTGGTGACCTATTTATAAAGTCACATTCACACATGCAAGATGGCTTCCGGATTCAAGAATGATGAGCCTTCGGTTTGGAAAATTTGAATATGAAACTTGGGCCTAAATAAAACACTATAGAGGTAATGATAGTGGTCTTTTCCCCAAAAATGGTTGCTTATATCTTTATGCACAATTCTGATGTATTAACTTATTATTCCATTACGACTTTCGATCAATTAACACTGATATACTATACAGTAACTACTACAAAACAAAAATCTAAAGTTCCATAGTTACAAGACTAAATTGCCTAAGGGTTTAAGAGTTAAGACAGACTCTTCTATATTTTCCCTAGAAAACAAGTATGAGTAATTTACTTTTTACTGATTACTGATGATAAAACGCTTCATGCAACTGCAGTTACAGGAAGCCTCCTACCTTATCTGAGAACCACAGATTCCTTAGTGAAGCTCCAGCCATGGGTCAGAGGGTCATTCAGTGACATTATCTCCCCTACGCACAGGCCACCTCACTCCGGCTACAGAACAGTCTAGGTCAACCACAGTCCCATCATCTCATACGCCTGTTCTCTCTCGCTCTCCTTTCAAAGAACCACTGCTGAGCAAGCTGCACTGCTTCTCTTTAACCACCATACATACAGAAGAAAAGAGACAGTGCTTTTGCAAATCGAAACAATCGAGGTCTACAGCTGTGTTCACTATGCTGCAACCCTCACCACAACAACTCCCGTCCCCTTCTGACACACGCTTAGCGGCTTCCTCCTGCTGCTGCAATGAGACTGCTTGTGGTGGCAGGAGATGGAGAGATCAAAAAAGAGAGAGAGAAAGAGAGAGAGAGAGAGCGAGCACAGAGAGAGATTGTGAGAGTGAGAGAGCAAGTAAGAAAAAAGAGAAAGAGATTGAGAGATTAAAAGCAAGAGAAAGAGAGAAAGAGACTCAGAAGAAGCTCACCACATCCTTTCAGCACCATGCTGCAGTGCCATGGCCTCCCATTGCTATGGCGACTGCTCTGAAAGAACCCCGCCCTGGAGATGAAAAAAGGCAAGAGATGCTCTCGAGTTCCATCAAAGGTGAAGAGCCGCTACAGGGCAGGGAGGGTCGGTGGTTAATGGTGGAAAATGAGATTAATGAGGCTGAAATTACAGGCCGATGCCACACGGCCTACTGCAGTATTCATTCAAGACCCACATGCTCCACTTATCGGGCCTGTTAGAGAGGCTTAAGTCAGCTTGAGACAGCATTTGAGCATGTGTAGAAGTGGAAGACAGAAATTTATCAGTGGCTACCCAGAAGGCCATTTATGTGTAGCTGGAGGCGATATCTGGAGCCTCAAAATTATACACTGTTAGTAATAAAGGTTCTGTGCAGGTGCTTGTTTTGTTCATCAAGGTACAAACAATGTAAATGAACCCTCAGAGGTACAACAGTGGTTTTAGGGTCCAATTGTGAACCTTAAATAAGCTTTTCCAGGTGAAAAGTACAGATTTGTACATTTTCATAATCTAATGTTTTAAAACAGAACAATAAAATAAAAAGCCTGGAGACGAGACGGGGTGTGTGGAGTCAGTACAGCTTAGAAAATATAATTTCAATGGATTACGGTACAGTTATGTTCCCTGACTGAAGGTACTGAGATGTACCCTTGAGGGTACCACCCCAGTGATAAGAGCGGTACTGCCCCAGTGACCGTTTAGTACCTTTTATTCCTGAGAGTATAGGGAATTCATAGAAGCCATCCTTTCTGAGGAATACCTGTTTTTGTGGGGGGTTTCCTAGCAAAGCATAGCCACAAACAATTTCATGTACATTTTGTAATTAAGTTTCTCAAATCAATTAACAATCAAATTGATCCACTTCGATAACATCGGTCAATGCTGTAGTTCTCTTGTATCAGAATGGAAAGCTACATCACATTACATATCAGTACATGGACAAAAACTCTGTTCTGAATACAGATATGATTGAAGGGGGAAAAAAAAATGCTTTTTCTACGATACAGGACTTGAAGGGAACTTATCAATTATGATAACTATTTTTAAATCAATCAAGGAAATTACAACCCTAATTCCAAAAACTTGGGATAGCGTGTGAAACACAAATAAAAATAGAAAGCACTAACTTGTAAATTCACTTTGACCTAAAAGGAAACAGTACAAAATATATTCAATGTTGTTTCTTTTGAACTAAATATTGACTCATTTTGAAACTGATGCCTGCCACGTGTTCCTAAAGCCGGGGGATCGCAGCAACTAAAGACTAGAAGCGTTTTGAAATGTTACAAAAAACAACAAACAGGTGATCCAATAATGCTTGGGTATAAAAGAAGCATCTGGGAAAAACCAAGTCCTTTATGAAGACCTTAATGAGTCCTTTATGATGCCTCAAGTTCATAAAATGCATCTACAGTTTAAGAACAACGTTTCTCAACACCCAATTGCAAAGAATTTAGGTATTTCACCGTACTACATTACATAACTGACAAGCTTCTGTACTGAATATAACCGCATGGGCTCAGGAATACTTCGGAAAAACCTTGCCAGTGTCTGTCATGGTGTGGGTGTGTGTAAGTGCCAATGGTATAGATAACTTGAACATCTGTGAAGGCATTAGTAATGCTGAGCAATTAATGTTGGGGCTAAATATGCTGCCATCTAGACAACGTCTTCTTCAGGGACATCCCTGCTTGTTTTAGCATGACAACGCCAAAACACATTCTGTATTTGGTACAACAGTGTGGTTTCAAAGTAGGAGCATGAAGGTGCTCGACTGGCCATCCTGCAGTCGAGACCTGTCTGCCACTGAGAACGCATGCCACATTATGAAGTGCAATAAAAACAACGGAGACCCCGGGCTGTTGAGCAGCTGAAGTGTTATTTCAAGCAAGAAATCTGCTTTCATAACTACAATTGGCGTCCTCAGTTCCCCAATGATTAGGCTACTGAACGTTATTAAAAGGAACAGTGATGTAACACAGTGGTAAACATGCCCCTGTCCCAACTTTTTTAGAGCATCTTGACAGGCATCAAATTTAGACCAAGTATATGTATACCAAAAAAATGTGAAATTAATCAGTTCAGACATTAAATATCTTGTTCTGTACTGTTTTTAACTGAACACAGGTCAAAAAAGATTTACAAATTATTGCGGCCAGTTTTTAATTGACATTTTACCTACAGTCCCACTTTTTTGAAACTGGATTTGTGCTTAAATGCTTCAAACCTAACCAACATTTCACTGACCAAACTCACAGCCCTTTTTTTTGAGTAAATGGATGTCATCGAGGGACTCAAACAGCCTGGTACCAACACTAGAGTGAAGTGAGTGTGGCCATATTACAGTGTGGAGCAGCAGTGGGTCAGGCCAGCGAGAGCTCCCAGACACTGTAACCTAATCCCTCTGACAGGCTGCTAAAATCACAGAGCTCCAGTGCCTACTGGAATGTGCTCTGTGTGTTTTACCCCTCCAGCACTGCTTTAGCTCCTCACTCACTCACATACACACACACACACACACACAAGCACACACACACACACACATGGAGATGGCTGTGGGTCAAACTGTAAAACAGTTCTTAAAACAGCTAATTGTTAACCAACAAAAGCAGCCAAAAAGCATTCTGAAAAGTTAAGAGATCCAATAATCCTCATTCCTTTTAAATGATTAATTAGTAGCTTCGCTCACTGACTGGCCAAGTGAACTGTTTGCTCACTTAAGTGTGCTCATTAAACATCAAAACGGTGCCCCACACTTCGGCCAGTGTGTAGAACTCCATCTGCTTCACATGTGCAAAACTGCACCAGCTTCTCAGCCTAGCGCAAGACACATCTTAAAGGGAGAATCTTCAGATGCTAACACAGTTTAACACAATATAGTATAAAGTCTAAGGCTTAGGACACAGTGTCTCACACACTAAGGCCGTGGGTGAGCGTCAGTGGCCATACAACGCTCATCGTCAGGGCAGTGTGTACGCCACCACTGGCTCTAGTCCAAATGAGCATGATGAATCGTCGGCCATCGGCCGTGAGAAAGGGCGAATGAGGAGAGAAATGAATGCTAGAAGGAAAGAAACGCAAGAAAACTGAACTCTCAAGAGGACCCACACAGAGAATAGCCTAATTTTCAATGTAAGTAGTAAAGTTTTAGCAATACGAATGGGCTTTTAACTATCTTTGCTCTTTGAATGTACGAATATTTGAACAAATTTGTGATTATCATCATCATCATCATCATCGTTAACCGCTTAGTCCAGATAGGATCCCGGTAGCAGTTGGGAGAGCAGAGAATCCCAGGTGACCCTGTCCCCCGCAACTTCCTCCAGCTCATTCCCGGGGACCCCAAGCCGCTCCCAGGCCAACTTGGAGATATAATCCCTCCAGCGGGTCCTAGGACGACCCCGGGGTCTTATTCCGGTAGGCCGTGCCTGGTACACCCCCACCGGGAGGCGTCCCGGGGGCATCCGGATCAGATGCCCGAACCACCTCAGCTGGCTCCTCTCAATGCGGAGGAGTAGCGGCTCTACTCCGAGCTCCTCCCGGATGGCCGAGCTCCTCACTCTATCAAATAGAGTGTAGCCCGCCACCCTGCGAAGAAAGCTCATTTCTGCCGCTTGTATTCGCGATCTCATTCTTTCGGTCATTACCCACAGCTCATGACCATAGGTGAGGGTCGGGATGTAGACCGATCGGTAAACAGAGAGCTTCGCCTTACGGCTCAGCTCCCTCTTCACCACTACAGTCCGGTACAGTGACCGCATTACTGCTGCCGCTTGTCCCAGCCTGCGGTCGATCTCACGATCCTTCTTCCCATCACTCGTGAACAAGACCCCGAGATACTTAAACTCCTCCACCAGGGGCAAGTCCTTTCCCCCAAGTGTGATTATCATATTCTCAAATAAATTAATAATAATGTTGGAATAAACACGGATGCACGAAAGCTCTGAATGTGCTCTGATTACATACCAATACAAAGCATGAGATACTCACTCATTTAATGAAATTGTGAAATTTAATTCAACTTTTAAGTAGCTGTTTTCCCACCAAGCACCAAGCTAACGGTGGTTTACTTTCACACATCTGGTTTATCATAAACATGGACACCTATAATACTTTGACAATACATTCTTTACTTTGTATGCTGCAGTTTTACAGTTTATTTGCCAACTCCTGTTTCCTTTCCCATCGAGTGTGTACGGCAGCATATTTTGGACTTTTTTCAAATTAAACTCTGTATTTACAATTGAATATATCATGCATTATTTAAGACATAAATCCAAATTCAAGCGCAAAGTGTATATTTGCGTTTGCATTTCTGTGTATGATGGCTGGAAAAAGGTAATACAGAAAAGTGCTTTTGACATTTCATTTCATATATCTTAAGAGGAACTCCTGATTTTCCAAAACCTACATAATTAAATAGTCAAGATGTAAACAAAGTATTTCAGAGTGGTTTGGTGTGAAATGCTCTGTTCTAGAGAAATCTGACGCATCAGAATTATTCACAGTAGTGGTGACAGACATCTGTAATCAGACATCTGAAGAGTTGAATGCCTCTAAAAGCTCCCTCACAGAAAGTTATTACATTAAATGGTTAGATATATGCTGCCTGATGGCTGAGACATTCTTTTAAGATAGTTTTGTAATAAAGTTTTGGCTTAAAATTATTTTAATCCATTTATTTCCTCCTTTTGTGGTGGAGGGTTACATGCAGGGCATTCTCCAAAGAA